GTGCTGCTGGTGCTTAAGCTGCACCAGCACCATCCATTCGGTCTGCAACATCTCCACTTATCACCATTTTACGTGAGCAGATGTCACCAATTTCTTCGTCAAAAATACCCGGTGTAAACACCAAATACACCAGCCCTCCACATTTCGGTGAACAAAAGCTCGCATTTTGAGCAACAGCACCATAAAATTATTTTAAAAGGCTTGCAATGCAGGGCACACCAAACACTGCCATAAAATAATACCGGAACAAACGCAGTGATACGCTGCAAAGGTTCATACTATCTGTAACAAAGGACCAGAACAAATCCAGTGTTTAGCCTGTGCACCAACATTAAAGCTCATTATTTTTTGTTTTCTCCGCTGCAAGGTCACAGGACACAAGGCATTGCAGGATCATCCGTTCCCACCAATCATTTTAACTCAGAACGTACGATTCGTCCCAATTGTGCAGATTAGCACGGCAGGTTGTCTCAAAAAATTGGCACTGGCACACAGAAATGCAATGCGTGGTGTAACGGAGTGTCTTGATGTGTAAATGTTAGCTATGCCGTATGTTGGCAGTTCAGCATGTTCTTGCCCTTGAGTGTGGGCTTAGCACGGTGGTAATTCGTTGTAGTGTTATTTACGATACGGTCTGATGGACCGCTTGAGCACGGTGGTAATTCGTTGTAGTGTTATTTACGATATGGTCTGATGGACCGCTTGAGCACACGTGCCAAAATTACCGCGCTGCATTGCTGTACGATGTATCCGCAACAAACTGCCGCTTCCCGTGCCAATACCGAATAAAACACCTTTTTTAAGCCCAGCAAGAGAATAGACAGGGTGTTACTGGTGATGTACCGTAGAACAAAGCTTGTCTGCTGTGTTGACCTAAAAAGATGTTTAACTACTCACTCCTGCGATTTTTTAATGCTTCGGCGGCACATTTCCAAGGCACTTTTCAGGTCCTTAGCACCACCTGTAAACCCGCTAGAATGCACAAATGTTGACCCCTCGATGCCACTCCTCGCCCTCAGCTCTTCCTCTCTTAGACCGCCCCACTCCAAGCACAACGGCACCTTGATGGCATAGCTGTTTCTCTCCTTGATAGTCCCGTACATGCGCACATGCTCGCTGCTATCATATACGATGAACAGGAAATCTTTTTTCCATATTTTTTCCAAAATAAAAAGGGCCTCTCTGCTAAGATCCCTGTCTGGACCGATGACCAGGATATCGCCTGTAGCACTTCGTATTAAATCATGGTTTGCCGATACCATCTCAACTAACTGCTTTTTCTGTCTGAAATAATTGTCCATGTCGATGGATATCAGATTGAGCGCGCACAGAAAGTTGTAATCGTTGTAATTGTCGCTTAGAACGAAATCTTTTAGCGTGTCGCTAAGTGGTACCGTACAAGAACTGTGCACACGTGCACTGCTGCCAGCCGTGGTCGCACCCCCCACCTCATTCTTCATTTGCCCGTTTTTTGTGTCTTCCTTCACGCCCGTCTCCTGGACATTAAAGCAGCTCACCAGATCAACCATCGTTCGTGGCACAATCGTGCACTGCAGATCAACGCCGTTGTCACATGCATCAACGTATTTGAAGTACTCCTCGTACACCTCATCAACTATCCAATCCTCAGCTACGAGCCCGTAGTACTTAAACAACTGTTTGTGGTAGTGCTTGTATATCAGACCGGCACTGCTCAGTTTTATGGGAAAAGCCTCTGAAAAAGTGTGTGTAAAACCGCGTTGGTGGTGGTCGTATCGCCCCCTCGTTGGATCATAGACACCTGAGACATCGTACACTATGTCTGCCTCTTCAAAGTCCTTTGGGTCACGTGTACGCTTCAACGTGGCATCCGGAAATATTTTTTTGAGGATTGCTGTTGATGTCACCTCATCCAAGTGGAACCGCTGATTGTGAGTCGCTAATTTCATGCAAGGGTAATTCTGCGAATTTT